CTCGAGAAGGAAGAGAAGGAGGAGGAGGAGGAGGAGGAGGAGGAGGAGGAGGAGGAAGGAGGAAGGAGGAGGACGAGGAGGAGGAGGAGGAGGAGAAGGAGGAGGAGGAGGAGGACGGGAAGGAGGAGGAGGATGATGATGATGATGATGAGGAGGAGGAGGAGGATTCTCCCGCACGCAGCGCAAGCGATCAGGTCCCGGAGGCGGGCGCGCGGCGCGCGCGCGGCGACCCGTAAAGGATGACGGGGCGCCGCGCCCAAGCCGTGCGGCGCCCTCAGACGACCTCGTCCAACGAGGCCATCTGGACGGCCAGGTGGCCGTAGCAGCGCCGCAGGCCTGCCTGAGTAAGGCGGGGAGGGGGGGAGGGGGCCGAGAAGCTGCAGGACCTGAACGGGCGCGAGCGGCAAGGAGAATAGAGAAGCGCATTCTCCCGCACGCAGCGCAAGCGATCAGGTCCCGGAGGCGGGCGCGCGGCGCGCGCGCGGCGACCCGTAAAGGATGACGGGGCGCCGCGCCCAAGCCGTGCGGCGCCCTCAGACGACCTCGTCCAACGAGGCCATCTGGACGGCCAGGTGGCCGTAGCAGCCATACCCAGGCTCAAAGCCCTTGCGAAGTGACAAGGTTTTGGCGGGCGGCCGCGAGCAGAAGGGGCCACGCAGTGGGGCCACAGTTCAGAAAGGAAGCGACAAGGAAGTCGCTCGCGCCATCGAAGTAGGTGACACGGGCCCGAGCGGCATCAGGCAAGGCGGAAAGCATCGCGGCGGAAGCATCGTCGTGCAAGAAGCGCTCCGCGCTAGACGCCTGGCGCCAGCGACTACGCCAGAAGATACGACCAATATCTTCTGTGGCCGTATGAAAGTCTGTCGCGCCTGAGCCGCGGGGGCAAGCAGGGGTCAAGTGGAACCCCGCTGGCGTCTCGGCGAGCGGTACGCCTAACGCCAAAAGTAAATGGTTCCACCGAGTACGGAAGCCGCTTTGACCAAAGGTCGACAGAGGATCGGTGGGACCCAAATGCCGAAAGACCATCTCCAAAACCCGAACCACCGCTTTGTCAGAGCACCAGGCGTGCTGTGGCGGGTAAGACATGCTGCTCACTGGATCGGGAATGGTCATCCAAGCGTTGCCTGAGGACTCAAGGCAATCCGAAGGCAACAAAAGGTCACAGCGACGGGCTGACAGCAGCTCGTCGGGCTTCAAGGACATCGTGAACCCTGCCAGCAGCAAGGCGGCCATGACTGGCCAGTCCCAAGTGAAACAAACTGCCACCATAGCGCGCAAGAGCGCTCGTGGCATTGGCGGCCGAAGGCGAGGTGGCTGAGACCGCTTCCAGGCCCTCGCCACTCCCCACGCCTCGGTGAGAAAGGTCTTCCAATGAGGGAGACGTGCCTGGACGCCTATGATCGCGTGCACCAGGATGTTGAGCGGGAAACCTGCGTCGTGCAGCCACGCGCCGAACGTTGCGAGGAACCTCGACAGCAGGATCCCACTACGATACAGCGGAAGTGGCGCCACCCCTGCGTCCTCGGCGCACCACAATTCGAACGCGTAGAGAGCTCTTTTGCGCCGATCGCCGGCCGAAGTCAGAACAGCGCCTGACCAGGGAGCGCTGGGAGGCTCCGTCTCTGCCGCCCTGCGGCGGCGGCGGCGCGCGGGGTGGGGGACTCGCCGAGGCCAGGCAAGGGTGGCACTCTCGTCGCGATGCCGCGCCGGCTCAGCCTCGCTGTGCAAGCCCGTACCAACCCTGGCCTCCGCCTCGGCGGCGCTGTCCACCTCCGCGAGGGCAGTTGGCGCTGCCACAGGCGAGGGCGAGTACGCCGCCGCCTCAGGGAATCCAGCGGAGGCGGCCTCTCTGACGCAATCAGCAAGACGAGAGCGGGCGATGCGCATCGCATCCTTGCGCCGCTCGAGCTCGGCTAAGAGCGTCTGCATTCGCTTCGCCAGCTCTCCCGCGCTCTCGCCAGTCTCTTCGCCTGTTCCCAGCATAACCTCGGTGGGAGCGGCCTCGGCAGCGGCGACCGAGGATAGGAATCGCGCGCGAGCGCGCCGGTCGGCACGCGCGCGCCGCGCAACCGCGGCCGCTGGGCCAGCGACTCGGCTGGTGCGCATCGCAACCGAGGTAGCGCACGCCCCGTCTTGGGGCAGGCCTCGAGCCGCGCGCGCAGAGGGCTCCAAGGAGTCGAGAAGGTGTGGCGCAGCCGCCAACGCGTCTGAGCCCTTCTCGTGCGCGGCTCCGCTAGGTTGGGGGAGATCCGCGCTATCAACGGGCGAGTCCACCGACAGAAGTGCGGCGCGAGGCGCGGCCGCGGGGCCAAGAGACCTCGGACTGGCCCCGGCACGGGGCGCGGCCTCAAGCATGGCGAAGGAGGCGGCGGCGGGCCCCGAGGCCGCGGGTATGCGCGCAAGCGCGTTCGGCCGCAATCGATCCGCAGGAACCCGCATGGGTGCACCGTCGACGCGTAATGCTGGTGGCGCACTGGCGGCGCGAGCAGGAGGGCCCATGCTGATCCTGGCGCCCCGCGCCGAGAATGCGCCAACCGGCAAGCTCCCGGAGCTCGCCGAGCCGGCGACCGTGGGCGGGTCGCGAGCTCCGGAAGCGAGGTCGCAAGCGGGGTCGCTGCCGGAGCCGCGCGGCGGCGGAGCGGCCGCGAAGCGGGCGGCTGGGCCAGCCGAGCGGGTGCTCGCGCGAGCGCCCCGCGGCGGCGGTGCGCGGCGAGAGCCCCGCGGCGACGCCACTGGCGGCGCGTCCTGCGAGTCCGACTGGCGTCGCGGGGCGCGGTCGGGAAAAGTATGCGGAACGCGGGCGCCGTCCCCCGGCGCAAGCGGCGCGTCGCGCCACTTCGAGGTGCTGCCGAGCCGGGCGCTGCTGGAGGGAGCACCGGGCGCGCCTGCTCCAAGGCCCGGGCTCCAGGAGCGCGAAGGCAAAGGCTCACGCCCCTCGTCCGCCGACGCGGCGGCGCGATGGCGCGCGCAAGGCTGGCCCCACAGCGCGAAATTGGCAGCGCGCCTGGCCCTACGACCCGGGGGCGGCGCGGCCGCGCCAGGCGCCGAGAGCAGCGCCGCGGGCGCACGAGCAGCGCGCGCACGACGGGGGCGCTCAGCGCGAACCGTTTCCGCTGGACGAGCTGGCCGATGGCGCCTTCCGCGCGAAGAGCAGGGCGCCGAGGGAGTCCCAGAGGCGGAGGCCCCGAAATCCGGCCGTGCTCCGCCCAGCTCGGGCTGCAAGCACTGGCAGGCGCCGGCGGCGCGCCCGTCTGGCCACGGCCGCGCTCTTGCATATAGGCGCGGGCCCGCACGAACGCCTCCGCGGCAAGTCCCGTGCTCCCGTTCCTGGCAAGGTAGGGTTCCCGCTCCCGGCTGGCAACGAGAAGCCTCGCCAAGCAGGAGCGACTTCGCGTCGCAGAACCTGGACCAGAGGGGAGAGGCGTCCGCGCGGTCCGATGCGGACAATGGGCGATGGCGCGCCCTGTCCGGGCGGTGCGGCGTGGCCAACCGCCGGAACTGGCGTTCCATGGCCGACCGGTCGGCACCCGGTTTGAGCTGAAGGAGCTCGCGCGCCGTCCGCACCTTTGCAACCTTGGCGGGTCGCTTGGGATCGGTCCGGGCGGCGAGCCTCGGCCTGGCCGCCGAAAGCTGGGCGGGCGCGCCGGGCGGGCCAGCGGCAACGGGGGCCGCACCCGGCCTGAAGGGCGCTTCGAAAGGCGACGCGCCCTGGGAGGCTTCATGGGGAAGCGCGGAGAGCTCAGCGGCACCTTCGGCGCTCCTTCCCCCGAGGCATCCGCCGCCCACCGCGGGAGAGGCGTTCCGCCTAGGAATCTCTGGAGCCTCGGCTTGCGCTGGGTCGGGCTGCGGAAGCGTGCCGGGAGCTTCGAGAAAAACCGGCGCCTCGACCCCAGTTGCGGCGGCCGCGCTTGCAAACCATGCGTCGGCCGCGGGGGCGGGCGAGAGAGGGGGACGTGCCGCCAGACCATGGGCGGCCCGGGCATTCCCCCGCGCAAGGAGCCCCTGTGCTAGGACTAGCGCGGCGAGCCGTCCCCATAGGCAAGTGGGGTAGGGAGAATGCGCGTCAGCAAGTGCGACCCAATCGAACCTACCGAAATCGCCCGCCTCAGCGTCGACCAGCCACGCAGGAGCCTCCCTGGAGGGGGGGCGCACAGGCCGATTCCTGGCGGGGTCATCCGCCCTGTGGACGTCGGTGGGCACATAGAGGCCACCCATGTATAAGCCACCGCTCAAGATGTAAGGCAAAGCCGTGCTGAGGACATGGGAAAGCCCTGGAGAGCTGCTGCGACCGTGGGCGGCCGCGCCCAAGGCGACCTTAGAATCGAGCAGCACAGGGATCCGAGAGTCCGGCATGCGAACGCAGCAGTACTTGCACAGACTCTTGAAAACAGTGGCCTCCAGGATGTTGATGTGACGCGGCATTCGAAATTCCCATTTATAGGCCAGGCGGAAGTGCAGCGCTTCCGACAGTTCGCTTATCCAGTGCGGCGCGACTGGGGGCTCAATGGAAGGGAGCCCCAAATCGCGATGCAGCTGGGTGAGCTCGGGGCCTAATGGGACTCCCCGGTCCAGCACGGCAAGCAAACTTCGGTTGTGGAGGACCGTGTGCCACCCTCCGTGCTCAGACCGGCGCCACAACTCTTGGGAGAGATGTGGACTGATCGAGGAGCGGACCACTCCCCCCCAGCCGAGGGAGGCGTCCGTGCCGAACACTTCGGGGGAGTAGCCCGCGCGAAGGTCGGTAATGGCGACAAAGGCCAGGTAAGTGCAGGCTAGCAGCTCGTCGCGAACGGAGACGGGGAGCTCGTATTCGAACCCATCTTCCGTCGACAACGACGACAGGAAGTTGTAGACGTGCGTGAAAATCGACAGCATGGGCCTGCGAAAGAGAAACACTTGCACCCAACATCCGACGAGCGACGCTAGCACCGCGCGGGTCGAATGACCGAGGTACACTTGGATGAGGGTTAGCCGGCACAGGGCCACGGTGCGCACAAGAG